CCAGGCCCCTGTGTTGCGTGGCAGGTCAGGTGAAGGAGCCGTTCGCATCTGCTGAGGCTGATGTCACCCTGGCAAGCCATCCGCACCGAGGGCCGCCTCCAGCCCCGGCTGCCTGCCCAGTGTACCCTGTGTCCTGTTTTGTCCGTTCCGTGGTGTAGGCTCTGGGAGGTCCCGGGGTTCAAGGAGACACATTCTCCTCCCTGCCCTCTGAGGCCAGGGTGGAGCCACCCCTTTTCTTTCGGAGGTGCCCCAGGTGTGGGGCAGACTGGTTTCAGGTTCAGATCCCAACTCTGCCACCTCCAGGCTGGGTGGGCAGGTTGTTTGCGCCTTGGGTCCTCCGAGTCTTCCTCTCCGAAAGCGGGTGACAGGGCATCACCTCACAGGTTGATCGGAGGATGCCCGAGGATGCATGTGAATCCGCTCCACACAGCGCCTGCCATCAAGGAACGCCTGTGAGCCCCTGTTCTGATGACGGGGCTGCTGAGGGCTGCTGTTCCTATCATGTGGGACATGGTTATGAACGCTGTTTGCATGATTCCCAGAACCAATTTAAGTCAGGCTTTAAAAAACAAAACACAGGACACACTTGCTCCCTCTTAGACAGCCCTACTTATTCTAAATCAATGCAACTTAACAAGACACAAATCATCTGCAAGCAGGATTTGGGTCGTTTCCAAAAACCTTCCTTTCCCCTGGCAAAAAACTCTCAGCCTCCCAATTTGCAAACCATTGTTAGAGAACCGAGGTTCTCAGAAAATGCAGCTTCCCCAGCCCATCACCTCTCATAGTCTGACACAGTCGGTCTAGGATGCTGTCCCAGAAGCTGGAGCTTTCATAGCTCCCCAGGTGATCCCAAGGTGCCACCAGGGCCGGGAACCACAAGGTCAGGAGCATAAGAAAGAAGGCCAGCTGTGGAGTAAGAGTGACCGAGGATCAAAGCTGAGACCACCCATTTAGCTTCTGGGCAACTGTGGGCAACTGCCTACACCTCCTGGAGCCTTGGTTTCCTTATTTGTAAGATGTACCTGCCTGTGCATATGCTCAGTCACGTCCAGCTCTTTGCGACCCCATGGATTTTAGCCCGCCAAGCTCCTCTGTCCATGAGATCTCTCAGGCAAGAATACTGGAATGTGTTGCCAATTATACTCTGGCCACTTGATGCAAAGAGCCGAATCATTGGAAAAGACCCTGATGCTGGGAAAGATTGAAGGCAAAAGGAGAAGGGGGCGGCAGAGGATGAGATGGTGCGATGGTTAGATAGCGTCATCAACTTAATGGACATGAGTTTGAGCAAACTCCGGGAGATAGTGGAGGACAGAGGAGCCTGGGGTGCTGCAGTCCGTGGGGTCACAAAGAGTCAGACTCGACTTAGTGACTGAACAACAACAGGATGTTTCTAGAGGCTGCTGGGAGGGCTTGAGATGAATGTGAATGGTACCTCTTATGAAACAGATGAATCAAAGGATGGATATTATAAATGTGTTCCACAAAAATCAGACCAGGGAAGGGATCCTAGATGATCCTAGATGCTAGATCCTAGCTTGTCCAGTTGACCATCCCCACCTTGCCAACACTGGGGACCCCCATAACTGTCTTCTGGCCTTCACTTATCCAGTCTGGGAGTTTCCCAGAATTCCTTTTTGCCACACTTGACTTGTTGATCCCTGTTCCACACATAGAAATTACCAGAGACAATTCATTTAAAAATCACTTGGTTAAATAATCCTTCTAATGCAGGACTTTTCAGAGCCTTTAATTATGCAAATATACATTAGGAACCTCCAGAGATGGTCGTTGGCATCCTGTCTGTCTGAACTGTCTCTCGTTAGCTTCCATTAAAAGACTCTGCCTTTGTAGAGTCAACATGAATTCATTCCCTCCTCTATTTTTATTGGGCAGAGAGGAAGGTCCGTGCATGGAAGTGTCCATCAGTGCTGTCCGGGCGTTGATGGGACAGGCCTGAACGGCCCTGAGAGGCCAGAAGAGCAGCTCCGTCCACTCAGAGCCCTTTGTTCTGAAAGGGGAGCTGAGGCCCGGAGGTGGAAACGATGTGGCTAGTCCAGGACCACACCCCAGGCCCCCCAGTTTCTTATTGTGCGCCGTCGTGGCTGAGTACCTCGCACGCCGTGCTTATAGCCTGAGCCTGGTCGGCCTCCAATTATTACTGACAGTAGTGGGGGTTTCCGGGAACAGAGCAAATCTATAGAGTTTAATTAATGAATGTGCCAGAGGGCTTGGCGGCTGGATTCCTGTGTTTACCACAGGCTTGGCTGGCATGCAGTTCCTGCTGCGAGGGGAGGGTGGGGCGCAGTTCCCCATCCACCCCTGCCCTCCTGCCGGAGCCTGAGAGGGAGGGAGGGAGGGAGAGAAGCTGAAATCCGACTCCCCCACCCCCTTCCCAGCCCTGGCTCTGCAGAGGCTCTTCTGTCTTGTTTTCAGAAGCTCTGGCATTTTGTTTTTAGCCGTTCTCGATAGGTTTTCAGAAACAAAATCATCCCTCAGAGACCCTGGAAATAGAATGAGGTGTCTCTGACGCTGGCAGCCCTAAGCACAGGTTGTTCTGGCAACCGGCACCTTAAACCTGACCCGGGTCCTGCAGGGACCTCTGCGTCCTGAGCTCAGAGGGGACCTCGCGCACATGCTCGCGGGACGGGGGTTCCCACAGCCCTGACCCCATGTCTGCCGCTTGTCAGCGCTGCAGGCTGGGGCCAACTCCTTAATGCCTCCGAACCTCAGCGTCTTCTTAGGTAAGATGGGGATCACGTTAATTATTATTTTGTGTATATAAATATATATATATGTGCATACACACATATGCAGATTTAATGTAAAGATTGAATGAGCTGGGACTTCCCTGGTGGCCCAGTGGTTAAACCTTCACCTTCCAATGCAGGAGGTGTGGGTTCAGTCCCCCGTGGAGGAGCTAGCATCCCACAAGCCTCTTGGCTAAGGAGAAAAAAAAACTTAAACAACAGAAGCAGTGTTGTAAGAAATGCAATAAAGACTTAAAAAGAATGAAAGAGAAAAAGAGTAACATGATCTAGGACTTCCCTGGTGGTCCAGTGGTTAAGACTCTGCCCTTTGCTTACAAGGGGGCATTCCTGGTCGAAGAACTAAGACCCCACATGCCTTGGAGGAGAGGCCAAAAAATAAAGTAAAATAAAGTGAAAATTAAAAAAAAAAAAAGATGAAATGAGCTAATGCAGACAGAGCACTTAAGCACAGTGTCTCTTAGCAAACACTACAAATGTTAGCAGTTATTGTAGCCGTCATCGTATACATCCCATTTTAGAGGTGACAGCTGCATCCTGGAGAGATCCATCAGCTTACCAAAGGGCTGGCCTCACATCTCGATGCGACGTGTGTCTGTGACAGGCCCCGCCCGCCCTGCCGCAAAGATCTGAGGGCCTCCGGACACTTGGCCGCCCCATCACAGGTCCTGTGTCACCTGGACCCCGTGTGCCGCTTCTCACAGCAGGAGCCTCCCGCTTTCTCCTCTGCCTTCACACCCTGGAGATTCCCTTCCCGCTCTCAAAGTCTAGAGCATCAGAGCCAGATGTGTGACTAATTAACACCTCCTAGTGCGGAAATAGGACCTTTTAGATGCTGTGACAATGGCAGCCACGAGACAAGGTGCTGCTTCTGCCTCCCTCCCGGGTGGTGGCTCTGGAAATAGACGGAGAGAGCGTTTTCCTCTGGGCCGTCTCCCCTGGGCCTGGCCTCTCCCAGCTCCTGGGAGAGCTACAGAAAACCCTGTGCATTCCCCGAGTGCCCCGTGCCGGGCACCCTCCCAGCGGCTACACGTGCCTTGATGCTTCTGCTCCTCGCAGACCTCCCACGAGGCAGGTGGTGTCGTCCCACCGTACGTTTTGGGGAACTGAGGTTCAGGGAGATGAAATGGCCTGTTCAGGTGCACACAGCTGGGGGGACGCGGGGTCGGCCTCGAGCATCGGCCTTTAGACTCGAGCCCCTGAGCATGTCTATGATGCTGCCCCGGAGCGTGAACTCTGCAGTCACCCTGAACTCTGAGTTGGAAACTGTCCTGGTCCTGTGTCGACGAGGATGAGGGGAGGGGACTGATACTCCTTATGCAGCTGCTCTGCATTTTATGTGCTTATGGTGTGAGTCCTGTACATACATCTCCCATTTCATTATATATATATATATATATATATATATATATATATATACATCCTCCCCTAGGCTGAAAGCTAGGATAACCTCCCTAGTACCCTTCAGCTGTGTAGTCCCATGACTGATAAAAGATAACCTAGAGCAGGGTACCAAATAGGTCTTTGCCCACCTACTAACTCTGAATGATGCAGTGGTTGCCTGGGGTGCTGTGTTGGGGATTCTCAGGGCTCGTCATCAGTTCTGGGATTGATTATTGATGTCTGGCATGGGCAAGCAAGAGGGTGTCACTGATTTTCTCATCTTCTTTTTTTTTCCTCTTTAAAAATATTTATTTGACTGTGTTGGATCTTAGTTGCAGCACATAGGATCTTTGGTCTTTGTGGTTTCATGTGGGATCTTTAGCTGTGGCGTGAGAACTCCTAGTTTCGCCACATGAACTCTTAGTTGCATCAGGCAGATGTGGTTCCCAGACCTGGGATGGAACCCAGGCCCCGTGTATTGGGATCGCAGGGTTTTAGCCACTGGACCACCTCATTGTTTCTCTCTTTTTTAAAAAAGATTATTTTATTTATTTGTTTCTGGCTGCACGGGGCCTTTGCTGCTGTGAGGGCTTTTCTCTAGCTGCATCCAGCGGGGGCCCCTCTCTGTTAATCACTGGGTGCGCAGGCTTCTCCCTGCAGTGGCTCCTCTTGCTGTGGAACACAGACTCCAGGCCACAGACTCAGTAGCTGTGGCCCGTGGGCTCAGCGTTTGTGGTGAGCGGGCTTGGTTGCTCCGCGGTTTTGGGGATCTTCCCGACCCAGGGAGGGAACCCGAGTCCCCTGCATTGGCAGGCGGATTCTTTACCACTGAGCCACCAGGGAAGCCCTCATTTTTCTCTTACTTTAAAGGGTAATGCTTTCCGTTTGCAGCACAAAATTGTTACTTTATTTTTGAAAATCTGGGCACAGGAGGACAGGGTTGTCAGCAGCCATCCACTCCCACACCCAGAGTTGTCTGTTCTACGTTCCCAGGCCCGTGGGGTCTGACTGTAAAGGTCAGAGGCTTTAGGAAAGCATCATGGACCCGTGGAATGGTCACTCTTTACCTTGTTTTCCTTCAGCCTGGGGGAACTTGGCAATAGCCAATAACTGAGGTTAACAAACAAGATAGCAGACAAGAACACTTGAGACTAATGTCTTCTGTTTCTTGGGAGGGCACCATTGTATACCCGCCTCATTTTCAGAGCTCATTCCTGAGTAATCAGTGGATTGGACTTGTGCTGGGGGATCAGAACGGGCATAGCCTCTTTTCCTGTAAGTCTCTTCTTCTGTTTCTGCTCAATTACTGTTATTAGTCATTATGTCCTAATCAAGTGATTTCCTTTCAAAGCAAAAATTGCTCATCCCTCCCTGAGAGAGTTTGTCCTCCTGCCAGGACCCGCGTATATTTGGGGAAGTTTCCAGCAAGTAAACAACTTACGGTGGCGGCCAGAGACCCAGGGAGGCTAAGCCACTCATGCTTAAGGTCACACAGGCAGAAAGCAGCAGAGCCAGGCCAGCATGCCTCAAAGGCTCCGCTCTTAACTATGTCAAGTGAGCGGCCGTCCTGCGGTCATTGTTCAGTACGTAGTGGTTCATTTTTCTTGTCCTTGTCTCAAAAATTGATTGCCTCTGTATCTGTCAGGATGGGTTAGGTTATGCTGCAGTGACAAACAGCCCCCCAAACTTCAGAGGCTTTAAACAGGAAAACAGCTTTCTTCCCTGAGTGCTCCACATGTCCACTGACATTGGTTGTGTTCATGTTTCCTGTCTTTGTCACTCTGAGGCTCCCGTTAGTGGAGCAGCTTGCTAGGGACATGACCAACCACAGGGCCGAGGGAAGGAGAATGTGGCATCCGTCGCTGGCTCTTAAAAGTTCTGCCTGGAAATAGATGACATCACTTCTGCTCGCACGTCATTGGCTAGGGCTAAACCACATGCCCACACCTGTGCTCTAGAAGGGAGTATAATTTTCCTATAGGGAGAAGCAGTAAATAGGCATGCCTCATAATACAGTCTGCCTGCCACAGTCTCTGCACGATCTCTGTGGGTTCATTTGTAGAAATGAGTTTGCACAGGCTCTTTTTTTCCTTCCCTATAGCATGAGCCACCCTTTTGAATTAACTCCGTCCTGGTTTCTTGGATTCATTAAGAAGCCCCAAGTTGAACATACCCCCATTGTCCAGTACAGCACCATTCCTGATTCTGGCATTTCCATGTATTTTTTCATTTGTTGGTTTATCCTAGAGGTGGACTGCCAACTTGCAGTGATGAAAAAAAGAAAGAAAAAAAAAACTTTAAATAATCTTTAATCTTTCATGGGAATTCAGAGTTCTTTAAAGAAACACAAGACTGTGTCTCTGCAACCTGCGGAAGTATTGCCAAGCAGACCTTAAGACCTGGGTTACCCCACGTGGGCATCACTTATCACGTGCCAGAATCTTATATGCCTGTGTCAGAGTGGGCTGTGGTTACCAGCTGCCTCAGGAGGTTTCCAGGGAGCTCAGGGAGGTGGCCTGTCCTTGGGGCTTTGGGAATCCCAATCCCTGCCTGTTCTTCACTTTGAAAGAAAGGGGTGCCAGCTTCAGTACTTAAGCAGAGAGAAGCCCCAGCCAGCTGCACACCTCCGCCCCCCGCCCCCAACAAGCTCCCAACTGAACAGCAGTGAAGGAAGAATTAATATAGGATCTAGGCAGTCTGAAGGGGTCCCCTGAGCATCTGTGTTCATCTCTTGTCTGCTGGGAATTCTGGGGATGCTGCTTTGAAGATATTTATAAAAGGAACACTCATTGCCTGTGGTGCTCAGAGAGGCAATTACCTAGAAAGAAGCGGGGAGCCGAGGTAATGCAGCTTACCTGGGAAGGCCACGGGGAGATGGGGACCGGGCAGGCTGCAGCCACCAGCCTCGCTCCTGCGAGGAGGAACCTGCTCAGAGTTAGCCGATCCAGGCTGCGCACCTCCCCACAATTATTGTATTTAAAGAGATAGTCCATCGAAATGGATTCCCATTTTCCAGCCTCTCGAAGCTGGGTTCCAGTGGTTCTGATTTAGACCCCAAGTTCATGGATCTGCCTGGCAACTTCCAAGGTCTGGAGGTCAGTAGACATAAATTTGAACCCTGGCTCCACTGTGTCCTAGCTCTGTGACCTGGAGGAAGCCCCTCTCTCTCGCCAAGCCTCGCCCACCCTCCCACACGCGCACACACATATCCAGCTTTCAATGGGGCTGTGGATAGTCCTTGCCTCTTAGGAGCTGAAGGAGGGGAAAATGCAATGGGGGTTAGTCACGTGGTAACACCCCCTAAGCCAGGAAACACCACAGACATGGTGGGTATTTGTTCAAGATTAAGAATTAATGAGCTGCAGATTTCTCAATCAAGTATTGCTGCAGCCAAACCTTTAACATCTGTAGTACCCCGTTATTCCACACTCAAGTCCTGGGGCGGGGGACCAGGGGACAGGATGTGCACCGTAGCAATGGCCTCTGGTTGCCTAGCAACGTGAAACCCATCCCAGTCGATATTTTAATTTGTCAGAATGTTTTTTTTTTCTTTGCCTCTACAATGGAACCTATATCTAGTTACGCGAGAAGGAGAAAAATTAGCAGTGTGCACAAGCCTGTCCACAAGTTGTAGAATCCAGCCCCTTCCCCGGGACTTCTCAAGCCCAAAGCGGGACTTGGAGTCACAAACGGGTCCTTTCCCTCCCCTCAAGGAACGTGTGAGCCCTGTGGGTTTAGAGCTGCGTCTCCCTGAACACGCACCGCTGCCGTCTTGGACTGCGGGTCCGGCTTTCCAATAGTTCTGGGGGCTGAGGCCAGGCGGATATTGTCTGTGGCTCTCAGTCCACCTGCTGCTGCTGCTGCTGCTGCTGTCACTTCAGTCGTGTCCGACTCTGTGCGACCCCATAGACGGCAGCCCACCACCAGGCTCCCCCGTCCCTGGGGTTCTCCAGGCAAGAACACTGGAGTGGGTTGCCATTGCCTTCTCCAGCGCGTGAAAGTGAAGTCGCTCAGTCGTGTCCGACTCTTAGCGACCTCGTGGACTGCAGCCCACCAGGCTCCTCCGTCCATGGAATTTTCCAGGCAGGAGTACTGGAGTGGGGTGCCATTGCCTTCTCCCAGTCCACCTGGGCTCCCTTTAAACCAGGCGGGTGAAGCCCAGGGAGCTCCAGGGAGCCTTCCGGGCTTTGACTCCTGCCTGACAGTCCAAGCTCCACTCACCGCGGGTCACCTTCATTCCAGGGACTTGCACTCTGAGGACACTCCTTTGCAGGGGCCACGTCCTCCCTGGTTAACTTTACAACAGCACCTGGCCCTGGCCCTCCACCTGGCGCAGTTCAACAAATGACACTCCCCCGACACCTCCCCTCTCCCGCAGGCCACTGGACAAACTCCTAGAGCAGTCCTAAGATTTGGCAAAACAGAGTGCAGACTTTGAGCCGGGGCAGTTTTCAGAGTCACGTGGCCTCCGGTACAAGGAGACCCAGGCTCGCCAAACCTAAAACAAATATTTGTTTGGTCTTCAACAGCAACTGAAGGAAGTATGATGATTGTTCCCATTGTACAGATGGGGTAACTGAGGCCCAGTGAGATCCCCCTGCCCCAGGCCCTACCACCAGGCAGGGGCAGAGCGGGTCTTGGAACCCAGGCCTGTCTGCACCAGGGATTCCCACTCAGAACCTCCTTCTTTCCCTGGGGAGCCCCGTACAAGCCCCATCACTGTTAGTTAACCCATACTTTGCCAGGGCCCACGCGTGGCTAATGTTAGAACTTGGTGATGTTTCAGGGCAAGAAAGGAAAACGAATAGGAGGTGTGTCCCCCACAGGAGGCCTGTGGCCCTTTTTGCTCTCATAGTGCTCAACTAACCTGCTTTTTTTAAACAAGTGTTTTTGGCTTTGCTGGGTCTTCATTGCTGCACAGGCTTTTCTCTAGATGTGATGGGCGGGGGCTACTCTCTGATGTGTGGAGGCTTCTCTTATTGCAGAGCGCAGGCTCTAGGGTGCATGGGCTTCAGTAGTTGCAGCTCCCGGGCCCTGGAGCTCAGGCTCAATAGATGTGGCCCACGGGCTTAATTGCTCTGTGGCATGTGGGATCTTCCCGACCCAGGGATCAAACCTGTGTCGCCTGCATTGGCAGGTGGATTCTTTACCACTGAGTCACCAGGGAAGCCCTAAGCTTCTTTCAGCCCCCCTCGGCCATGTGCACCTGGGAATCCCATCTCTTTGGGTACAGTGAGTGGGTCCCCAGAGCCACCTGACAGCCGCGGGGCCCACCTGAGGCCTGGGTCCCCGGTGTGGGTTCCCTAATTATTGCTGGAAGCCATCCCTCGCCTGTCAGCATGCTATAAATAGGGAGCTGGGGGAAGATCTGAAAAAAAATGCCACTGGCTTTTTTTCCCCAGCGTGGGTGGGTTGAGTTAAAAAACCATCAGGCCACAGGCATCGCAGCACTGGAAAGCCTGAGGGGGTGGAGGGCGGTGGCTGAAACTCAGGCGGACTCGGCCGCGTCCCCCTGTTTTCATTCTCTCTGGCGGCACAGGGCGCAGAGCTGAATTCTGGGGTGGAGAGCCCTCCAGGGACCTCCCCTGGACGGTGACAATGACCGTGATTGCCCAGGGGCCACAGGGTGACCCTGCTGGCATGTTCCAGCAGGATGGGGAGGGATGGGTCCTGGCGACCCCCCTGACCTGTGCTTCCTCCGGGAGGGAGGCGGCGGAACCGGCGCTTGGCTTTTTTTTTGGGTTTGCCTTCTTCTTTTGTTGCCAGGCCCTTTCTTGGGTTTTTGGTTTGTTGCCCCTTAGTTGGGTTCCCGGCCGGTTCCGTTCCCTTGGTTGGCAAACCCCGGGCAAAGGGGCGGGTTCCTTTTGCCGTTGTTTTCCTTGGTTTTGCCCGGTTGGTTTTGCAGTTTTTTTTTTAACTTTTTTTTTAAAAAAAAATACAGTGACACCCTGGGAAGGTTGTCTGTGCAGAAAGTGAACTTCACGCTGGTCAGGAGGTGCTTCGATGGCAGGAGCATCTCGGCGGTATTTGGGAGAATCTAAGACCAGTACTTCCTGGTGGCTCAGACGGTAAAGAATCTGCCTGCAATGCATGAGACTTAGGTTCGATCCCTGGGTCGGGAAGATCCCCAGATAAGGGAAAGGCAACCCATTCCAGTATTCTTGCCTGGGAAATCCCATGAACTGGGGAGCCTGGCGGGGTTACAGTCCATGGGGTCACAAAGAGTCGGATGTAATTGAGCAACTAGCACTCTCACTTTTCAAGATGAGTACAGTATAGACGATAATAAAGGACCTGGCAGTCATGGCCAGGTGTGGGCTCAGGGAGGTGGAGCGAGCTGCCCAAGGTCACACAGCTGGCATGAGGCACAGCCGGGACGGGAACCCAGGTCTGTCTGACCTCAGACCCCTCCCCCGCCATGACGGTTGGACTCTCCCGCATCACGTGGCCTTTCCAAGATGAGCTGCTCAAACAAATCCTTTGCCTGCACTTCTTTTTTGGAGGGAGGGGGCAGAAAGAAAATCCCTCTGTCTTTCCCAGATTTCCCCCAGGCCTCAGCAACAGATTCCTGAAATGTTACTTATCATGAAAAACATTTGGGAACTATAGCAGTTCCCAGCATTTAATTCTTTAAATGCTGTTAAAGAATTAAAGTGGAGGCAAGGGACTTCCCTGGCAGCCCCGGGTTAAGACTCTGCGCTCCCACTGCAGGGGACACGGGTTCGATCCCTGGTCAGGGAACCAAGACCCCAGATGCTTCACAGCAAAGCCAAACAAAGGTTTTTTTTCTTTTTTTTTTTTTTAATTTTTTAAATAAATAAAGTGGAGGTGAGGGAGGTAACCTAGGAGGCTGGGTTGACACCGGGCTGCCAGGATTTTACTCCAGTGCGTCTGTGGGCAAGTCATGTCCCTTTGAACCTGTTTCCCCATCTGGAAAATGGGATCCTGACCAAGGATAACACGCTCCCCCTGCCCAGTGGGAGCTGAATACCAGAAGCCCCCCGTATGGTTTTCACATCTGGAGATGACCCTTAGGAATGCCCCCAGCATGGATCTCCACGTTGACAGTCGGTACCCGATCAGTGTTTAAAAGCAAATAGGGACTTCCCCGGCAGTCCAGTGGTTAAGACGTCACCTTCCAGTGCAAGGGACGTGGGTTCGATCCCTGGTTAGGGAGTTACGATCCCACATGCCTTGAGGTCAAAGAACCAAAATATAAACAACAGAAGCAGTATTGTAACAAATGCAATACAGACTTTAAAAATGGTCCGCAAAGAAAAAAATCTTTGAAAAAATAAAAGTAGAATAAAAGAGAACATTGTGTAGCAGCATCTACTGGGGAAACCGAGGAGCCGGATGGGCAGGGCCTCATCTCAGCCCCGGCTGCCCGCCCCCTTCCTCTCACCTGGGGAGTCCAGACCGGCCCTGGCCCAGGAGTATCTTGGCTCTGCTGCCCCATGGGGGTGGAGGAAGCGGCTCACACTCTGCATGCTTAATTCATGTTTTTATTTGGGAAGCTCAGTGTTTAAGAGTAGGCAGAGAGAATGCTAGGCTTAGAATGCAGTTTGGGGAGATGGGAGAGGGAGAGTGGGATGCTTCAAACCTAAATCTTTTAAGATATATGTGTATGTGTGTGTATATATACACACACACACACATATGTGAGGGCTTCCCTCATAGTTCAGTTGATAAAGGATCTGTCTGCAATGCAGGAGCCCTGGTTAGATTCCTGGGTCAGGAAGATCCCCTGGAGAAGGGACAGGCTGCCCACGCCAGTATTCTTGGGCTTCCCTTGTGGCTCAGCTGGTAAAGAATCCACTTGCCATGCGGGAGACCTGGATTGGATCCCTGGGTTGGGAAGATCCCCGGGAGAAGGGAAAGGCTACCCACTCCAGTATTCTGGCATAGAGAATTCCATGGACTATAGTCCATGGGTTCGCAAAGAGTTGGACACAACTGAGCGACTCACTTTTATGCAAAATATATACAATCCATGTGAATATATGATATATATACACATGTATATATAAATACATTCATATTTTGCATATGTGTAATATATATGCAAAATGTATGCATAGACGTGCAAAATATATGTGCATATATAATACATGCACATATGCATATAAATAGCTTCTCAGGTAGCTTCAGTGGTAAAGAACCTCACCTGCCAATGTAGGAGACTTAAGAGACAGGGGTTCAATCCCCGCGTCGCGAAGATCCCCTGGAGGAGGAAATGGCAACACATTCCAGTATTCTTGCCTGGAAAATCCCATGGACAGAGAGGATCCTAGCAGGTTAGAGCCCATGAAATGGCAAGAATCGGACATGACTGAAGCAACTTAGCACATAGCACTTGTATATAAATAACTCCTTTGCATATATTTGCATATGTATGCTATATACATATACCCATATATCCGTGCAAAACTATATATGCAGTATATATACATAGTTTTGCAGAGAGATCAACCAAATGGAATTATACTGCAAGAACGCTTTTGTACCTAGTTTTCTTGCGTTTTTCTCTTCTATGACTGACCTCTCATGTCATGAACATGGACCTGCAGACTACATATAGTCCATGTCTCGGGTTATGCCCACTTTATTTAGTCAGCCCCAGATTGATTTTGGGACACACAGGTTGTTTCCAGTCTTTTTGCCTTATAGATAATGAGACAGTGAACATCACCTACATAATCAGAGTAACCTTTTGAAGTGGGGTGACAGGGATGCAGGCAAAGAGCTCGTGCAGCCCAGGATTTGATTAAATCCCTCTGGTGTCAGCCGAACCTTGGCCTGCACTCACGCACCCACACGGGCAAGTCTCTTATTTTCTCTGAGCCTCCGGTTCTCCCCTGTGGTAAAGGTGTGCAGCCCTTACCCACCGTTCTGAAGTCCACAAAGCCCTCCCTCATTCGTGGCAAAACTACCCTCTCCCAGTGTGGTGACAGGAGGTTATTAACAGCATGGTATGACTGTTCATGCGCTTTGCTGCAGAAATAGTAATACGTTTGCTTGCGGTTGCCTTTCACCAGTACTTACCCAGTTGTGGGAGTATTTCTTTAAAGTTATCATCCCCCAAAGGGCCTTTTTCGCTCTCTCTCTTTGTGTTTGTTGTTTTTTTTTTGCTACACTGTGCGGCTTGTGCAATCTTATCTCCCTCCCAACCAGGGGTCGAACCTGTGCCCCCTACAGTGGAAGCCCGGAGTCCTAACCACTGGACTGCCAGGGAATTCCGCTGAAGAACGCTTTCGTAACACTTTTTCTTCCTTGCCTTTCCATGAAATTTTAATATCATAGATACTATTGTATATCTGTACGTGTGCATGAGTGCATGCTCAGTTGTGTCCAACTCTTTGCGACCCCATGGACTGTAGCCCACCAGGCTCCTCTGTCCGTGGGATTCTCCAGGCACGAATACTGGAGTGGGTTGCCATTTCTTCTNCGTGTGCATGAGTGCATGCTCAGTTGTGTCCAACTCTTTGCGACCCCATGGACTGTAGCCCACCAGGCTCCTCTGTCCGTGGGATTCTCCAGGCAC